TATATATTTACACTTATATTTCATAGAAAAGTGTCTTGAACATTTTACATCTACTCTTAACTGCGAGCATAGGGTATATACAAGTCGAACATGGTAAAGATGTTTTTCAAGAATCTAAAGACTGTGTCATAGTTATACATTTTCTATTTTCTGAATAATATCCTATTGAAATAGGTTCGCTTTTTCAGATAATGTTGTTGATTTACATATTAGTATAATTGTTGGTACTTATTTTGTTGATTTTCATAGATTACTTGTCAACGATCTTATTACATCTGCATTAGGTTTAGCGGTAAGTGTGTTAAGTTTAGTAAAGACGATGCAAAATACTGCATTTCTATTGTCAGTTGCATACCCATTCGATCTTCATAAATCGTGTACTTTTCGCTGTATCAAAACTTTTGTTTTGGGGTCGCGATGATCTAGAGAACGATGATTGGCTAGAAATTCGTTCGAACTTTGTCAGAGAGATGAATATCTCGAGATGGTATGAACGCTATTAAATCTTCAGTGAGTCCCGCAAAAAGTTAATTTTGACGATTTGGCATCCATCTTTCATCCGATGATAATAAAAAGTGGCAAGCTACTCCCCAATCAGCTAAACTATCAGCTGTTATGAGCAGTTGCGATAATGAAATCATTCGACAGGACAATATCGACTTTAGGCGAAAACTTTTATCGCTCTTATGTTAATGCAAACTCTATTGTCGCAATTTGAGATCGTTTCTTACCGCATTTAACGCCTGGATATAGACGAAAGTTTCTATATTGCCTATTTCTAGAGGTATTATCTATAAAGAACATTCGATAAATGTTAGCAATTACATTTGTCTAGCAAGATACAAATTACATATTTATTAAGGACTATTGTGGTATTTATTTTCGGTCTTTTTTTATACCTCGTATTCCTGCCCTCGTGATCTGTAAATTCAGATACTATTCGTATCTGTCATTTGCTAAAGAGTATTTGAATTTAGAAAGATCCGTTCTCTTATCAAAATAAGAAGTAATTGGACATTCATCTTAGCCCTCCATTTCGACCTATGTTCTTCAAGTCATATGGACAAACGAAGTTTATGCTTCCAATCAAGTGACGAATATAATAACAACTAGAACTTCTATTCTACAAAACGATATGAGTTAGAATATGCTGAATATAATGCAAATATGAAAAAAAAGGATTCTAAGTAGTTGAATAAGAATACACCATAGTTATGTGTATGATTCATGATAATGTTATTTACTGTTTCACATTCATGGTTCAGCATAATAGTCGGATAATCAAACTTAAAGTTTATCGAATGGTACTCATCTGTGTCGATCCTTCAATGTAGAAAGAAACTAGCACGATAGGGTCAGAACAGGCGAGAATGCTGTCAAGAACCAGAGAAAGGTTTGATCCGAACCGAAGATGATCCCGACACAGTCAATATTAAAGAATGAGAGTTTCTATGATATCAGAAAAACGTATGAATTTTTCTGATGGCAAAATATGTACTAAAATCTTACTTGGTTTCAAAAATTTGTCATATAAAAGTCAATGTTCATAGAATGGTCGTAAATTCTACAGGAGCTCAACATTATATGCTACAAAGTGGAAATCGTTTGCAGTTTCTCAAAAATTCGACTTTCTATTAGGTTTTTCTTCAAGGAATGTTGATCATGTTTGGTTCATAAGTTTATTGATGTTTTTTCTATCGAAGGCAGTCGCGCACGCAATGGTTTTTGAGAATGCAACAATTTTCTTCTATTTCCGAAATTCAACGATTTAAAATATTTTAAGAAGTGATAGTGATCGTAGAGGACACAGCAGAGACTTCAATCTTGAGGTCGCATAAAGTCTTGAAGTCTGCTGTCTCCCTCTCCCACATGAACCTCGACAGAAAAATATAAAATAAATATATGGCTGTTAAACTTCAACACTAAGAAGAGTTCTTTTTCCACAAAAAATAAAAGCCTGCAATGATTGATTCATAATTTATGGTAAGCACTAATGCTGAAAAATTCCATGGAGGCCAATTTCTTTAGTTTCACAAGCGATTCCTGTAGAACTATTTTCAAACAATAGAAGGTAGTTATATGCATCCAACAACTTTATTGAGTTTTATAAGGCTAGAACGCATTATTCAAATGTCTTCCGTTTGTCAACGTATCGTTTAATCAACTCACGCCACTGAAATAAAGCTTATCATAATACTATCTGAAATTGTTCGTGTGAAGAAAACCAATGCACGTAATGTCTCATATATGATTTCTGAAAAATAAGAACGAAGAACTGTGAAGGATCGGAGTTCGTAAGACAATTAGTGAGCCGCATCTGCAAAAAATAATTATTTGAAAACTTAGTGGTACGTACTTTAGATTACTTGAAAAATTGTGACTGTTGGTCGAGGAACTTGTCAAACTTCAAGAAATTTCTAAATAAAGAGTGATATTGAATTAGTATATGTAGTTCTTTGTGAGTTGTCTTTTTGTATTTTTCTACTAAAAGTATGCATCGAAAGTTGACATTTCCGGTCGCCATGATCTGGAAAACGAAAAGTCATGAAATTCTGGTTCAAATGTGAGAATGAACATTCATGGTCGAATATATACCATTTATTTTTCAATCTTCAACAAAGCAGTCCAGTTTGTCAATGGAAGCAATCACATAAGGCAAATATTTGTAGACTTCGCTTTCTTTTTTCAACTTTTGAGATAGTTAACACCATGACAAGCTGGTTGTATTCATCAAAGCTTTATGGGCAGCTGATAATAGATAATGAATCATATGGAAAATTAAGTGATAAATTCGCAGCGGTCTCTAAAAACATACTGATATGTGTTGATAGAATTTTCGTAATAATGACAGTTTCTATGTCTGTTTTACCATTCTTTACAAACTTGAATCACTTGATCGACCAAAACGTAGACAATCCAAGTTTTCAATACAGCCTCATAGAAGGAATTCGTTGCCATAAACTGTAAATATTTTGGACGGTAAACCGTTGTGTAATTAATTGTAGAAACGATTATTCATTGATTATCAGATATTCATTTTTTTTATGATTGACATTAGTAGCTTCCCATCGTATTGCTTAATTGTGTGAAACTCTAATGCTATTTAGTTGTTTCTCGATGCATAACTGAAAATCGAAAATTGTACGATTTTCGTTCAAACGTTGTCACAGAGTCGCATGTTCCTCTATAATGATGTTTTTCTTCAAAACTTCTATATAAAATTCCGTTCGTTTTCAATTTGCTCTACAAAATGATGAGTCTAAAGAGAGAACTCTGCCTTTTTTCGAGTTAATGACAATAAAACTGCTGATCACGAAACAATAATAAGAAGTTTTAACAGTAACAGTGACTAGATTGAGGGTTGCTGACATCCTTCGTATTTTTCGTCACGTTTAAGATCAGCAACTGAAATTTAAAATGTATTCGTCAATGTGGAATTTTAAAGAAAATTACAATCGTTATGATCATACATAAATATAGTTTATTTAATTTATTTTCTGATTGATAAAATTTGTCAAGCACTATTAGAGGACTCACAATGTTATCTAAGTACATGTCTGTTTTGCATTGATTAGACACAAATCATGTCACAGTTATTTGTTTTCAAAGACCATTCGAATAGTTGCTTGTATTTGATTGATTGTTTATGTCTCTTCTCGAGTTTCATAGACTTTAAATGTCTCTATTTCATTGCTAGTTACAGCATAAATGTAATTAAAGATAATTCAATCAAATCATATCTACTGTTCAATCAGAATTCATGATTTTTGTTAATTGGACAATACATTGGACTTCGGAGGCTGTAGCTACAGAGTTTTTCCAAACCAAATACATGATGAATTTATCATTTTACAATATCATACATAATTGACAATTGATCAGAGATTCTCGCGAAGTTTTTGTCTATGGCACAATCTATTAGAAGGCTTTTACAGCAATGCTATCGTATATATATAGTTAGCTTCAAATACATTCTTTTTGACATCTGCATTGTATTTCTCTGAGAGACAAAGAGAATCGAAATACCTGTTTTGATAAGAACGTTAGATTGAAATTTGACATGAGTTTAGTCTCTTCGGTTTGTTGTATTTTATTTTAATTAGTAAATTATTAAAAGCTGGTCACGTTTCATATCTCGATGAGAAGACTCCATCAGACATTAAATTTAAGACAAATGATGATTAAGTAAATACAATAAGAACCAACAAACAATTTGCTTTCTCTTTTATATTAGTCACTCATCGATAGTGATACGAAGAAGGATTCAGTTCCTATCTAGCTACTACTATTGCCGTCTTCTTTTTGGTATCACTATTGATGAATGACTAACATGAGAGAAAAGAGAAAGCAAATTATTTGCTGGTTCTTATTGTATTTATTTGTTTGTCATTTGTCTTAAGTTTAATGTCCGATGAAGTATCTTATCGAGATACGAAACGTCACTAATTTTTGACAAATTATTAATATCAAATTAAATTCAAAATAAAATAAAGAAAAGGCATTAATTCATGTCGAAAGTGAATCAGAATGAATTAGAGATAAAAGATCAATGAAAATGAATGAAAACTCAATCGATACTCCTTGTGCATTAGTGTAATATACATGTCATGAGTTTTTGATACAATATCTATTGCTTTTAAATTATCACAAGATTTGGTTTGTTTCCTGATAAGCAATTTGTAGTGCATATAATTACACATGCATTAAACTCATTGTTCTACTTTGTACGACATAGAGACGTGCTTTCTTTCGCTAAATTTCACATATCGATCAATTCGAAAGCGTTGCAATCTCATAAACGATGAGTCCAGTTTAGATCTAGAAGTAAATATAGGTGGCACAATGAATTAATTTTGAAATTTAGTATAAATTACAACAACGTAATGAAATAATCATAGAAAAAAATGATAGACGTTATATCCCGCTTCTAAAAGAAATTGATGATGATAGTTTAATTTGATTTTTCAATAAGAAAAGTAGTAGAACATAGATGTAAAAAATCCTTTTTGTATTATATGTTGGAACTGATGAATTTTGCACTTAAAAAGACAACTCTTAACAACAATAACAAACTTCTGTTTATATTTTCACTAGTTTCGTATGATACTAAATTTTCAAACAATAATGTGTACTAATCTGTTTCTACACACAAATCCATTTATAGCAACATACGAAGAAACAGAGAAAAAACTTTCAGATATCACAAAAAGAAAGCAACATGTGATACAATACATGAAATTTATTACAACTCTTTACCCACTCATTCGTTATCTTATAGCACAACAGACTATCATAGATAAAAGAAAACGAGTAAAGCACTTAAGTGAAGCAAAAAAAAAGGAACTCAAACAGCAACAATAGTAATCAAAAACAAATAGAAACATCTACGAAAGAACTCTAGCATACTATATAAGTTCAAGTCATTTTGTTATTTTTTTTTCATTGATTCAACATCACGCACACTATGGACAGTAAGAGAAAATCGATAATTGCAATTGATAGTGCCACACCATCTGAGCATATGAACATGAAGCTACGACAGCTTCCTAACGCTCGTATGCTTCAAAACTTTTTGCTCGTTTGGCTCGACAGCAGTATCGATCCAGAGAACAGCAAGACCTTCAAGAACATCATTTCAAAATTAAAAGAAATAGTCAATCAGGTCAACACATTTAAGGATGTCAATGAATGTATCAAATTTATTAGCGACCTTAAACAAGACAAAATTTTTATGATCGCATCTGGTGCATTTGGACAAACCATAGTTCCCGTGGTACATGACATGCCTCAGATCAGTACAATTTATATATTTTGTGGAAACCAAGCTCGATATGAACAATGGGCCAAAGACTGGTCAAAAATAAAAGGCGTATTCACCAATATTACTCCTATCTGTAAATCTCTTCAACAAGCAGCATACGAATGTGACAAAAACTTAGTCTCGATCAGTTTTGTCACTACTGATAGAAGAACTACCAAGAAAAACCTTGATCAAATAGATTCTTCATTCATTTACACACAGATTATGAAAGAGATTTTATTAAGCATTGATCTTCAACCACAAAAATTTAATGAATTTATTACCTACTGCAGCCATGTTTTCGTAGACAATCCAAAACAACTTTATCACGTCAATAAACTCGAACAAGAATATCATAAGCATCCTCCGATTTGGTGGTATACCTACCAATGTTTTCTGTATTCAATGCTCAATCGATCTTTACGACTAATGGAGATCGATCTCATCATAAATATGGGATTCTTCATTCGTGATCTCCATGATCACATCGCCAACCTTCATAACAAACAATATGTTGGACATGCATATATGAAATCGTTTACTGTTTATCATAGTCAAGGGTTGTCAAAGGCTGACTTTGAGCAGATGATGAACACACAAGGTGGACTTTTATCATTTAATAATTTTTTATCGACTAGTATGCATCACCAAGTATCTCTCAACTTTGCTCGAGAAACTATGGAATCATCTGATCTTGTTGGTATTTTATTTGTCATGAAAATTGATCCATCCCTGGCGTCAACACCATTTGCTGATATTCGTAATGTTAGTTATTTCGAAGGAGAAGAAGAAATTCTTTTCTCCATGAATTCTATTTTTCGTATTGGGCCAATAAAACAAATTGATGGAAATAATCGTCTTTGGCAAGTTGAGTTAACAATGACCAGTGAAAACGATCCAGATTTGCATGCACTTACTGAGCAGATACGAGAAGAGACTGAAGAATCGAAAGGATGGCTTCGATTAGGGACATTTATGGTAAAAATGGGCCAATACAACGAAGCGGAAGATTTATACAGAATATTGCTTGCTCAGAGAATTATTGATGATGAGAGAGGAAGTGTCTTTTATCAGCTCGGAATAATCAAGCTTCGCAAAGGAGAATATGCAAACGCGCTCACATATTATGAAAAATCGCTGAAAATTCGTCGAAAAAATCCTTCATTGCAACATCCGAATGTGGCTGAGTGTTACAAAGATATAGGTGTGGTGTATGAAAAGATGGGAGACTATTCAAATGCACTTTCATTTCATCAAAAAGCACTGGATATCTACCAGAAAACTATTTCTTCAAATCGTCTAGAGTTGGCTACTTCTTACAACAACATTGGCTCGCTCTATGACAAAATGGGTGACTATTCGAGTGCACTTTCATCTTATCAGAAAGCACTGAATATTCTTCAAATAACTCTTCCCTCGAATCATCCTGATTTGGCTACTTTATACAACAACATTGGTTCGGTTCATGCAAAGATGAGTGACTATTCTAATGCACTTACGTATCATCAAGAAGCACTGGAAATCTACCAAAAAGTTTTTCCTTCAACTGATCCCATTTTGACTACTTCTTACAACAACATAGGTGCGATATATGAGAACATGATTGATTATTCAAATGCACTTTCATTTTATCAAAAAGCATTGGAATGTAAACAAAAAACTCTGCCTTCGAATCATCCTGATTTGGCTACTTCTTACAATAACATTGGCTGTGTATATGACAACATAGGTGACTATACCAATGCACTTTCATCTCACCACGAAGCACTGAAAATCTACGAAAAAACTCTTCCTTCAAATCATCCTGATTTGGCTACTTCTTACAACCACATTGGTTTGATATATGCAAAAATGGGTGACTATTCAAATGCACTTTCATATTATCAAAAAGCATTAGAAATTGAACAACAGAATTTGCCTTCAAATGATCCTAATTTGGCTACTTCTTACAACAATATTGGTTCAGTCTATGATAAAATGGGTGACTACTCGAATGCACTTTTATCTCATCACAAAGCATTGAAAATCAAACAGAAGACTCTTCCTCCTAATCATCCTGATTTGGCTACTTCTTACAACAACATTGGTTCGGTGTATGACAATATGGGTGACTATTCAAATGTACTTTTATTTTATCAAAATGCGCTGAAAATCTACCAACAAAGTCTTCCTTCAAATCATCCTGACTTGGCTAGTTCTTATAACAATATTGGTTTGGTGTATAATGATATGGGTGACTATTCAAATGCACTTTCTTTTTTTGAACGTGCTGTTGAAATTGGACAACATTTACTACCACCAAATCATCCTAGCCTACAACTATGGAAAAAAAACCTCGAAAGCGTGAAGAGGCAAATGTAATTGATTTTTGTTTTATTGAAAACAACACACGTACTAAGAAAAAAAAACATCGTTCTTTTGTTTTTGTTTGAAGTGATACTTTCATAATACAAAAAAGCGTTGGATCATGCTGAATGATTGGACTATGATCACGCACCGTTAATCAGCCATTAGAAGTTAAATTTGATAATAACTAAGGGTTTTGAATTTCGCAATTTCGAGCACACTTTTCTAAGCTGCTTTTACCCGAATATTGCAAATTTTTGATGACTAGTAATTACGATTGATATTTTATTACATTAATATGAGAAAAGATTTCGTTTTGTTGTGAAAATTTTACCAATTGCTACTTCATGTAGTTCTGCCTATATCTAGGTATCAAGAACAGTGATGAAGCGGGGAAAAACTTGTGGAGTAGAAGCTCAGCCTACAATTGAAGCTGACAAGCAGGTATTTTCTTCACTTGTAATATAGAATTGTTTCATTTATAGAGGAAGGTCAATGCTTTTTGAAGGAAGCTCAAAGGCTTTTAGGGTGGACCACACTCCTTCAGCCACCTCTTGATTTCACCACTAATTAAAACACCTAAAAGTACCAAGCTTAGTACAAAAACAGAATTTGGTAGCTCTGTTTGTTTTCCGATCGGCAATAGTATCCTTACATGAATTGAGGAGCCTTCTGATTGTGCCAAATAATAATTTCCAATAGGGAAACAACTAACTTATGAATTCTTGTGAAAAAATTATACCGTTATTTGCAGGCAACTAGGCAAAATAGAGCATAAATGTTGTTCAATACCAGTTTTTGTGAGATAGTAGATGAAAAATTTTGAGAAAAGTTCTTTCTTCGTTCTTATAGTGTTAGTGTACACGGAACGCATCGCAGTAAAATAAAAATTGTCACTATTTGAAATTTCAATCGTTTATGTATTTCACATTCTATGCCTTCGTGGAACAGTCATAATAAACTTTTTCTCAAAAAGCTAGTAGGTTAATTAATACACTCAAACTTACTGTTTTTCGCCACTTTATCAGTCGAATAACTCAAGAATTTCGACTGATCGGTTATTAGGTGGATCGGCCTGGTCGAAAAACGCTCGACCGACCCTAAGTCTGCCATATCCAAACATATGCCCGAAGCATATGACTAGAACCATTCTAGATAATTTCAAGGGCACTGGTCTAGTGGCGGAGCCAGGATTTTGAGCTGGGAGGGCTCAGCCCCGTCTGAGGGACCTTTGAGCCCCGGCTGGCGAATAAAATACGTGGTTTAAAAATTTTTCTGGGAGGGGCTCAAAGGTTTCTGGGGGGCTCAGCCCCCCTCCCCAGCCCCGCCCTGGCTCCGCCACTACACTGGTCTATCTCGTTCGTTTAAATAATATTTGATTGAAAAATACAGTAAAATAAGTTTGAATTTGTGAATTGATGTGTCAATCCATTCTACAATACACATTGATAAGAAAAATGTAAAAGAATAAGCATATTGATTTGTTCTTTTGTCTATGATCGAAATTTTAGAAGCTCAAAATTAGATTTCGGTTTTTTGTTTTGTTTTTGAAGTTTTTTTTTGAACAGATGTAAAACTTCATGATTTTTTTCTTATCGTTGTGCTAGCTTCAGATAAGTTCAAAAATGGCTTTATTGTCAATAAGAACTCAAATACTCTTTATGAACAATATGGCCAATAGATTATTTAAAACGAGTGAATACATGAATAATCAATAGAAGAAAAGCAAATTTCAAATGTGTTTATGATTATTGGCTCCTGCGCCATTGATCTGTCCACCGTGTCAAACTTTGGAGCATGGATGAAGATTCACTCTGAAATGAAGCAACAGTTTACAAGTATCATCTGATCAACTATTTAGTTAAAATATTCTGTATTGCGCTTTCATGATGAAATTGTGATCGTTAAAAACATTCAATCACTATTCTATGTAACTCTTATACTCACTCAATAGTTTATTAAATACTGAAAAAATTCATGTCTTTGATTTCATTCCTATTAATATTATTTTTCCTATTATTGTTCCTTGCGATCCTATGCCTTTTAAGATATTATGGATCGTTATTTTCCGATTTACCTTATTATCCTACAAATTCATCGCCAGTCTTAGGCTTATTCGGTATAATAGTTTGTCTGCATAAAAGAAATTAATAGACAACATTTAAACAAGAAGAAGCCAACATACCTTTTTGTGCAAGTGCTCAACATTGGAAAATATGATTGTTCTTCATGTTATCAGCATTGTGCAACAATTAACATAACAGAAAATAATCATTTGTCCACGATCAACAAGAAAAAGACGGACGAAGAATGTTTATCAATATGCTCTAGTAGTTTGGCAGAAGCATTGATTTGCTTTTCAATCAACATCTTAAACATTTATTAAGTATTCATCATTATATATTGTTATGTCGCTAAGTAATTTTCATCGGACAGTCTGATTTATCACTAGCTACATCACCAATGCTACCTAGTTAAGAAACAAAAGTAGAATTTAATCGTCTCGTCACTTTCTTAAGAGCGTTGAATAGACCAATTTCAATCTTGTGTTTGAAATTATCACTAGTAAGCGATCATAGTCATATCATTAGAATAGAGAATAAGATGTATAGCCAAAGATTCGATTGTCATAGAACAACCTATGAACGGTTGATATTCAAAAAAAAGAAAAGTTCAGAAAGGTGTATCACTTTTATTGTTTTACAAAATGTAGTCTGATGAAGATCACCTTATTGGCTTCTCATAGATAGAATTGAACCTGTCAAGCTACATCCGAAGAAAAAAGAAGAATCGTACTCGGTGTTCCAACCTTCGCTATGATAACATGAGATCATTCACATTCTAGACTCACAATGAATTTGACGCCTTAAATCATACGGAAGTATATGCTGATGGAGCATATTCCCCAGACTCAAACTCACGAGTCTCGTTTCTGCTGTTAAAACTGAAACATCAACTACGCAAAATTAGAATTCCAAAGCAGCAATTCAATACTACACATGTTTTGAGCATTCATGAATGGCCTTCTCAAAATTTATCTCAAAGTCTGCCTTGATAAGTTATTTTAATCGAATGCATCAGTGCATGGTTGATGAGGGGTAGCATCTAGGAAAATCATACTAAGATCAATGTCTGAATATTTCTTCCAAGCGCTGATGAAGAAACTTTTCTAGTATCTCTTGTATATTTATATTTTTAACGATGTCTAGAAAATAGGGTCGAAGTAATATACGTTTTAAGTATCCAAGGTTATATGCCTAACAAAGGTAATATGATAAAAACTTCACATTGTAAATCTATTCTGTAATGTTATATCTCTTTCGTTGCTGCTTGGTTTTAACTTTTCATATCACTATTCAACATCTCAGGCACACAAAGCATTAGATTAGTAATAGATAAATGTGTGTAATAGAAAAAGAAGTTTACATAATTTTTCATGTAAAACAATATCATGAGATCGATAAAAGATATCTTTTAGAAGAATTTTTTATGAAACTATTAAGCATATATATCTAAACATAGATAAGAAACAAAAAGAGAGACAACAAATATACAGATTGAAGTTAACAATTGTCACAAGAAAAAGCAATGTGTTCGTCATCATTGTTAAAAAGTGTTATACCGGTTTGGAATTTTTACAAGTTGGATTATCTTTTGCATTACTATATTATTATTCTTATCATTTAGCTTTTAAATCGTACATGGTACCGCCATATTTCAGGATTGGTTCAGTCAGAGTTAGTACTTCATAATGATCCAGTTCTTCCAATTATTGATTTTTCATCATTTGCAAGTACAAATGAAACAAATGATTATCCTCGTGATATAATCGATAAATTAGCAAATGCTTGTGAAAATGTTGGATTCTTTTATGCTATTGGTATGTTCTTTTCTTCTTTTTTTTTAAAATCAATTCTAAACAAAATTCAATTAATGATTTTTAGGTCATGGAATATCAAATGAATTACTACTTCGAACATTATCTGTAACACGTCAATTATTTGATCTTGATTTGAAAATAAAAAATCAATATGCTGCTCGTTTATTTGTTAATTCATCAAATACAAGTCAACAATTTGGTGGTTTTGGTCGTGGTTATCAAAGTATTGGTGAAAATGTTACAAACTCAAGACGTGATCGTCATGAAGGTTTTGATCTTTATCGTGAATTAGATTGGCATCATCCACTTCGTTTGCAATTCAATGAAAAGCATTTAACAAATAAAAACTTACCTGATTATCGTGAAATGGCAATAGGATGGAATCCATGGCCTAAAGAATTTCCATTATTTAAAGAAACAATAAGTGAATATACTACAGCAATGTTACAAGTTGGTGCACGAGTGATGCGTGCTATTGCTCTTTCATTGAATTTACCATTAAATTATTTTGAATCGACATTTAATGATT